TCTCATTTCTACTGCTAAACTATAATTTATATAATTCTAATATTTATTCTTAAATCTCAACCTTTTTCTCTTCCCTTCGTTCTTGTTAGAGGTTCTAGTTTATGTTTTATTCTCCTTTACCCTTTTCTATATCTTTGCCATGGTGCCCATCTTTTGATTTGTTCTGGGCTCTTTGCTCTATTCAAATATATAATTTGCTCCATATTACATATCTCATCAACCATGAGTACCCATTCTTCTATTTGAGGTTTTTGTATCTGCCTCCAGTATTTAGGTATTAATACCTTGGCCGAGTTAATTAGTCTTATTGTAAGGGAATCCAAGTAATATTTAACTAGGTGGTTTGTGTTATATAGTAGAATTTTAGATGGATTCATATCAAGCTCTCGATCGTCTATTGATTTTAATATTTTCACTATTTTGCCCAGAATGGCTTTATAACAGGACAAGACCATCAAATGTGTATACATACACTGCTCAAAAAAATAAAGGGAACACTTAAACAATACAATGTAACTCCAAGTCAATCACACTTCTGTGTAATCAAACTGTCCACTTAGGAAGCAATACTGAGTGACAATCAATTTCACATGCTGTTGTGCAAATGGGAAAGACAACAGGTGGAAATTATAGGCAATTAGCAAGACACCCCCAATAAAGGAGTGGTTCTGCAGGTGGTGACCACAGACCACTTCGTAGGTCCTATGCTTCCTGGCTGATGTTTTGGTCACTTTTGAATGCTGGCGGTGATTTCACTTTTAGTGGTAGCATGAGACGGAGTCTACAACCCACACAAGTGGCTCAGGTAGTGCAGCTCATCCAGGATGGCACATTAATGCGAGCTGTGGCAAGAAGGTTTGCTGTGTCTGTCAGCGTAGTGTCCAGAGCATGGAGGCGCTACCAGGAGACAGGCCAGTACATCAGGAGACGTGGAGGAGGCCGTAGGAAGGCAACAACCCAGCAGCAGGACCTTTGTGCAAGGAGGAACAGGAGGAGCACTGCCAGAGCCCTGCAAAATGACCTCCTGCTGCCTGCAACATCCTCCAGCATGACCGGTTTGGCAGTGGGTCAGTAATGGTGTGGGGTGGCATTTCTTTGGGGGGCCGCACAGCCCTCCATGTGCTCGCCAGAGGTAGCCTGACTGCCATTAGGTACCGAGATGAGATCCTCAGACCCCTTGTAAGACCATATGCTGGTGCGGATGGCCCTGAGTTCCTCCTAATGCAAGACAATGCTAGACCTCATGTGGCTGGGACATCATGTCTCGCTCCATCCAGCAACGTCACGTTGCACCACAGACTGTCCAGGAGTTGGCAGATGCTTTAGTCCAGGTCTGGGAGGAGATCCCTCAAGAGACTCTCCGCCACCTCATCAGGAGCATGCACAGGCGTTGTAGGGAGGTCATACTGGCACGTGGAGGCCACACACACTACTGAGCCTCATTTTGACTTGTTTTTAGGACATTACATCAAAGTTGGATCAGCCTGTAGTGTGTTTTTCCACTTTAATTTTGAGTGTGACTCCAAATCCAGGCCTCCATGGGTTGAAAAATTTGATTTCCACTTTTTAATTTTTGTGTGATTTTGTTGTCAGCACATTCAACTATGTAAAGAACAAAGTATTTCGGAAGAATATTTAATTCATTCAGATTTAGGATGTGTTATTTTTGTATTCTCTTTATTTTTTTGAGCAGTGTATGTACCCACATCTTTCATACATCGCCAGCACTTTTCTGAGTTGTTTGGTTTTATCTTATGCAAGACATACTGAACCCTATACCATCTGGTCAATATCTTGTATGCATTCTCCTGTATTTTTACAGTTTTTCTTGCCCTCTATTAATATTTTGTATATTTTCGATATCAATCTATTTTGGGGTCCTTGTGACCAACATAATTTCTCAAAGGGCGTAAGTATTTCTAATGTTTGTGATTTTTGTTTACTAGTGTATATATAGTGTTTTATTTGAGCTACTATGTAAAATATCTGAAAGTTATAATTCTGTGGTCTATTTAAGGTCTAATATTCTTTCATGAAATGACCTAATTTAAGATAGGATAATTCATATGGGAACATTTTTTCTATGTTTCCTCTTTCCAATCCTGGTGGAAATTCCTCATTATAAGTTAATCATGTCAACAATGAGTATTTTGAGATAATATTCTCTTGTTTGTACATTTCTTTCATAATTTTACATGTACTAATTACAGTAGGATAATGTTTATCTCTTAGTACATTTTGTGTGTTATATAACCACGGAGCAACTCTTATAGGTATATTAAATGCATTTTGTTCTATATCAATCCAGTCTTTTTTTCTGAATTATTAGAATTAATTATACTAGCCATATGTATTGATTTATTCATTTTTTATGTTATTAAATATCAATATCCTAGTCTGGATTCCCCCCCCCCTCCATAAGAATTTTCTAATTATTGGTACCGTTTGCATTATATACATAATCCTGGGTGTGACATTTATTTTAACTACATTAACTCTTCCAAACCAGGAAATCATTAGTTTTGTGCACTTTTGTATATCTGATTTTATTTCCTTTAAGATTTTTAAATAATTAATTTCATATAATCTATGTATGTCGTTAGATAAATATACTCCTAGATATTTTATTTAGTTTTTAACTCATTTAAATGAGAACGTTTCTTGTAATGTTTTAGACATTTTTTCAGGAATTGAGATATTAAGAATTTTGGACTTAGATTGGTTGACTTTAAAGCCCAATAATTCCCCAAATATTTGTAGTTCTTTTATTATATTTGGTAACGATATTTGTGGTCTAGTTATACAGAACAAAAGATCATCAGCAAAAGCTGAAATTTTATATTGTTTTCCTCCTATAACTAGGCCGAGTATGTCAGGGTTGCCAAGATTAGCACTTAAAAAAAGCTCCAAGATCAAAACAAATAGAATCGGGGAGAGGGGACATCTCTGTCATGTTCCGTTCGACAGGGGGATTGGACCTGAACATAGGCCATTAATACAAACTTTAGCAGTAGGTGTATGATATAGTGCCCTTATTCTCCTTATCATCCTGGGTCCGAACCCAATATGATCTAAAACTCCAAATAAAAAGGTCCAATCCACCCTGTCGAACGCCTTCTCTGCATCTGTTGAAAGGATTAGAGCTGGATATTCCCCCCTCACTGATTCATATATCAAGTCTATGACCTTTCTCGTAGCTTCTCTTGCTTCTCTTCCCTGAATAAACCCAGTAATAGATCTATATAATTTCTCTCGATTAGGATCTGGTACATTCTGAAAATTTTTATTATAGGCCATTGTTAACCTGTCTGGCCCAGGACTTTTGCCAGTTTGAGAATTCTTAATAGCCTTTTCAATTTCTTCAACCATTATAGGTTGGTCCAATCCAGTTATTTCTTTATTTTTAAGTTTAATATTAAGATGTTCATCTAGATAATTTTAATCTTTTTGTTTTTATCTTTTATACTAAGCCTTTTATTATCTGATAGATTGTACAGATCATGGTAATATTGTGAAAATACCTCTACTATCTATTCGGTCATACAAACAGCTTCCCCCCCCCTTTTAATTTTCTTAAGATAATTCTGAGTGGGTCTTTCTTTTTTTTAAATTTTTTTTAAAATTTTGTATTTTGGCCGTGCATAAAAAATCAAAACATACAATTTTGAGGTACCCCAACGGCAATCCTCGAAACAAGCATCACATGGTACACTTGAGGTATCAAGTTAGACTTGCACAGTTTTATGATATTAGGGATAAACATGAGTATAACAATTATGCTAAGCCTATTAGGAGAAGGAGCATATATGCAATTTGCAATAGTATTTATTTTTTTTTTTAAATTCTTTATTTTTGTCATGCATGTATCAACAACACTTACACAGAGCCACATCAGCTTCTGTGTGCAGCTTACAGCATTTAACTTTGTCACAGGTTAATACAGCACATTTTAAAGTTAAAAAATAGTAAGACATAAAAATTAAAACAATGAAAAAATAAAAAAAAAAATAAAAAAAAAATTAGACAATTCTATTAGCGGATAGTAAGGTGGATAATACGCTGGACTCCTTTCTCATCCGAATTCAAATTCCATTCTACTGAGCAATGGCATTCTTGTTACTTTTTTGCTTAGTGATCTAAGAAGGGACCCATTAACTGTGTGAGATGCGCAAAAAAATAATAAAAAAAATAAAAAATAAAAAAAAATTGCAGGGGATTGATATATATAACGAATTAGTACAATCGTAGTCCCTGGCCTCGTCAAGTATGATTATATAGCCTGCATTTGTCAATCCCTGACATATGCCCCGTGAGTCCGCTATCTGAAGATAGGTGTGAAAAATGCGGCTGTCATAGCAACTATACCTTGATCCCGTTCTGCAGAAAAGCCCCATTCGCTCATAAACTGCATTGTTCATCCAACCGTAACTTCGTAGGAAAGAGAGATGAAAAAAGAAAAACGACACCTCCCATGGGGAGACCAGAGGGAGGGGGGTAAAGATAATAAAGAAGGATGAGACTGAGTAAGGAAAATTCCATAGTGGAAAGGAAGAAAAAAGAAAAAAGGACAGCCAAGAGGTAGAGAGCTGAGAAGCTAAGAAGAGAAAAAAGGAAAAAAGGAAGAGGGGGGAGGAGGGGGGGGGAGCTCCTTGCTACGTGGGGCCCTTCCCTCCACAACCGGGCAAGGTGCCATCAAGCGCTGTCCGTGCCCAGTGGACTACTATCCCATGGTTCCCAGATCTTTTGAAACGACGCCGTTGTCCCCCTTACTCTCGCGGTTAAGTCGTCCATTATTCTACATTCCCTTATCCGAGATATCACTCCGGAAAAAACCGGGCCTTCCGGAGAGAGCCACGCGATCGCAATGGTACGGCGCGCGCTTAGGGTTATTTTATGCACCAATTTTTGTTCTCTCCTGGTCCAGCCATCGAGAGACCTATTGAGCAAATATACCCACGGATCTAGACGCAGGGGTTTGTTGAACGTCTGCTTCAGGAGGTCTTCCACTGACCTCCAGAAGTTGGCAAGTTTTGAACAATTCCACCACATATGGATATATGTGCCCCTAAAACCACAGCCCCGCCAGCAATCGTCATTATCCAATTTATGCATGCGATAAAGTTTCACGGGCGTGGTATACCACCTGAGCATGGTTTTCCATGCTTGTTCTTGTAGAGTGACACAAATCGAGACAGTGGAATTCGCCTCCCATATCTCCATCCATTCTAGTCCCTCCAGGACTTCACCGAGGTCCGCTTCCCATTGATCCGTGTACTTCAGATTTCCCCATTCGCCCGTTTCCGCACTCAGGTGAGCGTATAGAAGTGTAATCATACCCTTGGGGGCGGTCCCTTTGGAGCAAAGTCGTTCAAAAAAGGTCATCTGACCCAGAGCTGCCGCCTTAATGCGAGGTTTGCCAGCGAAGTCGCGAATCTGGACAAAGCGGAAAAAATCTGCGGGGGTTAGATGTGCCCCTTGTTGTAGTTCTGCAAATTGAATTACCGAGCCGTTTTGATATAGCTGGTGTAGACGTTGCAGCCCCGTGCGTTCAATGTTCCGGAAATTTCTGGGGGCCATGCCGGGGGGAAAATCCTCGTTCCTAAGAAATGGTGTCATTGGGGAGGGGGATGTTGCCAGCCTATATTTGAGATGGCATGCGTCCCAAATCCGAAAAGAGTTGAGTATGGACGGGCACGTACTCCTTATTGTGGGTCTGTGCTCCTTGGGAACCCACATCGCAAACTGGGGGACGTCGACCCCTACCATCATAGCTTCTATGTCAGCCCATCTCCTCTCATCCGGCTGGGAATGCCACATGGCCACTTGCGTAAGCTGGGCTGCGAGGTATGCAATAGTATTTAAGCTTGGGTTAGGGAAAGCATTATCGTGAGTGTGTACTCTGTGTTAGGCATAAACAAGTGTGATATACACAGGCTGAATATGTGTGGTCATGAACTATATTGCTATAGCTTAGCCGATAAGACAATACTACAATACGGTTGAGGCCAACATGTGTTCCGCTATCTACCCCTGATGTATGCAGGTATGTTTCATCTCCAAATATTAGGTGTGTTTTTGACTAAGGGTAGAGCATGGCGGTATTATTAGCAGTGGGTTGTAAGCAGTCACAGATAGAGGTAATAGGAGGTATGAGGGATGGGGCGGATTTCTTATCTGTGGTGGTAAGTGTTCCGGTCAGCCAACTCCTGCCTGTGGTATGTTACAGTCCCATTTAGGAGCCTCTGCCACTTTTCCACTTCTTGGGTACAGGCCTGGTAGGTGAGCTCGATCAGTAGGGCAATTTGAAGCAGCAGTGTTGCTCCCCTCCTGTTGTGGGCCAGGCGTCTTGCTTGCGTGCACTCAGTGGTCGTAGTAGACCCCCGGTCCTCTTATCTGGCACCCCCTGTCTGGGTGTTGGTACTTGCTAGGGGTCATATGGCGTTGTGGTGGTGGGTGGTCCCCTCTGCCCCGGGACTGTGTTGGAGCTAGCGCCCTCTTGCCACTGACCTGGGATCCATTGTGGCCCTTGGTCGCCCTTGTCGGGAAGTGGCGGTGAGTTGCGTAACGTTGCATGGGTCTTCATGTGGCATCTTTCCGCCGGTGTGGTCGACGCTTGTGGGGCATGGCCCTGGTTTCTCCCGGCCCAGGAGGGCCTCTTTTGTGGGAGGTCGCCTCTTTTGTTTTCTTTGTGCCCTGAGGTGGAGGCCCCGGTCTCCTCCTGCCATAGACTTTTGCCTGTGCGGGCGGCGTGGGATGGACTGTCGCTGCTTGCAGTCGCTTCATCCACTTGGCCCAGAAGCAGTCGAATAGTGCATTGATGGGGTCACCAGCAGAGTCGTAGGTGCCTGGGGTGGTATCTGGTCGTCGTTGGTCTCGATTTTCTGGTTCTATCAGTGCCGCCATCTTGGAGGCCCTCACCACCGCATTGCTTGAAAGACTGGCGGGAACCGACGTTTGGTGCGGCGTGTGGGGACTCCCTTCTGATGGGGACTGGGATAACCCCCACTGGTCCATAGGGGGGGGGGGAGCGGTTTTGGTGTGCTTGAGGGCCTTTGAATCGGGCGGGAGGGGGCCGTCCTTCCCCCCTCACCTCCTCCGGTAGGCTCAAGGCAGCCGTATCGGTTCCCGGGCATGCCGGGTGTCGATATAGGTATCAGTGTGTGCACAAGCGTTATGTCAGTCCGATAGTCTTGGTTATTCGCCACTCTTGTTGTTGTGTCTCAATTTTTCAATGCATTTGAGTCCATATAGCTGGAGCCCATGTGAAGTGCAACCACCCAGCTTGCTTGCTCGGCTCCGCCCCCCAGTGGGTCTTTCTTTTAATGCCCTGGCTAATAGCCTATGTGGTTTATTTCCGTATTCAAAAAATTGGCTTCTAATATTCATATAGTGCCTTTGTATTTTTGTTTTAACTATTTCAGATAGCTCCATCCTCAATTCCTGCAGTTTATAATGTATTGCCATTGTGGCATTTAACTTATGGGCGGTTTCCAGTTTAGTTATTTCATCTCTTATTCTTGTGCAATCGGCCAAATTCTTTTTCTGTATATATGACCACCCAATTCATAAACTGCCCTCTAATAACTGCCTTGTGGGCTTCCCAGGTAAATGTTACTGGGACTGCAGGTGAATAATTTTCATTAAAATACTGTACTATATGATCTTTGAACTTATCTATAGACTCATTTGCTTTTAATATATTCTCATTCAATCTCCAATCATATATCTTTTTTTAAGAGATGGCATTTTTAAACTCAAGATTGCAGGTGAGTGATCGCTCCAGGTTTTAACTCCTAACAAAAAAATCTATGTGTCATAAAAAAAAAAATCTATTCTGGAGTGTCTATTGTGCGGCACCGAATAATATGTATAATCCTTTATACCAGGATTAATCACTCTTCAGATATCAACCAGTTGTAAATCGTTTAGTTCTTTATGAATTAGCTTAATTTTTGAGTATTTAGGGGTGGAAGAACCCGTAGAGGTGTCTACCAACAGGTCCATGGAAACATGAAAGTCTCCCCCCATTATTATAATACCTTCTGCAAAATCATTTAATTTATTCAAAATGGATCATAAAAAGATGTTTTGTTTCTCATTGGGAGCATATATATATTAACCAGTGTTATTATTTGTTCGCCTATAGATCCCTTAAGAAATATCACTCTACCTTCTTTATCTTTCCATTCTTGCTTTAATATGAATGGAATATTCTTATTTATACAAATGACAACTGCTTTATTTTTTGTTTTGGTGAATGAGAGTAATACATCTGTGAAAATGTATTGTGACTCAATTTAGGGGCTTTCTCTTTAAGAAGATAAGTTTCTTGAATACATCCTATATCAGCACTCAGATGACATAGTTCCTTAAACATTAGTGATCTCTCTAAGGGAGAATTTATACCGTTGACATTTAATGATACCATATTTATTGTGAGTATTTGTGTATCCATTATGAAATATATTCTAGCCTACCAGCATTACTTATCAGAAAGGAAAATGGGGAAGTGAGAAGAAGAGGGAGGAAAGGATATAAAACATCTTCCTCCTTCCTCTTCTCTTCCTCCTCTCCACTCCCCCTTCACCAATACTTCCATATATTGGAATGCTGCTCTTCCTTTTGTTAGGGAATACTTGTGCAACAAGTTTGTTAGATTTAGCTAATTGGTGGGAAGAACCCTGAAACAAACATAAAACACTTACATTCCATATATACCTATAAAATCCCCTACCCTAACCCTTGGGTCTCCTAACTCATAAGAGGTCTGCACTGTATGTGCTATTTCTGCAGGATCCTCTTCATATCTACACGAGTCTATTGACACCTTTGGGCCTAACAGGGAGAGACACAAGTCAGATAATCTCCCCGACTCCACAAACTATCATCCCCTGCCTATGATTTCCCTCTTATAATAATTTTTCTTTCCATCCCTAGCCTATTTCTTTTTTCGATATTGACATCCATGGGTAGAGGATTCGGGGTTAGGTAAAAACCTAAAGTCTCCACCTAACTTCAGTGCCTTATTTCCATGTGGGGAGTATCCTATAAATTGAGAGGGTTTGTTATGGATTTGGTCCAGCTATTTCTAAAAAAATAAAAAAAATAAAAATAAAAAAACATTCCCCTTTTTGATCTCTTTTATATTCCACTCAATATTCTGGATTACTAATATAGGTATTTTAGATCATTATTATCCCTTTAATTATTTTATTCCCCTTCACTATAATCTACATTACTTCTTTAAACCTCATTTATTTCTCTTCCCCTACCCTTGCACTCCCTTTCACAAAACTGTGGGACGTTGTCCGTTTTTTGGTTTATATATGTTACAGGGCCTTTTTTCACCATTATACTTAGAGGGAAACCCCATCTAAATTGTATATTTCTTTCTTTTAGAGAGTCTGTAATTGTCTTCAATGTTTTCCTAGCTTGTAGTGTTGACCATGATAAGTCATCTATCTATCATCAGGTTTTCCTGCTGTCTTGCTTTTTTAAATAGAGAGCAAAAAATGGGTCGCAAGAATATTCTGAGAACAGACAGCAGCTAAAATAGCCTGCCCTTCGGTGGGTCCCCGCTCAGAACTCAAGCTGGTTTTAGCTCATCTTGTGCCATTACAGAGAGAACATATCTGAAGCATATCAGACTGGTCCCACCCATACGGGCAGTCCAGATCCGAAATGCCAGCAAGTTCTCTCTGCACGAGAGATACAGCAACCCCAGACGATCGTTTCAGTCTTGTTAGGCATCGTCAGTGAGGCATAGCTGATATCTCTCTAGGCACCGTGAGCAAGGGGTCCACGTCTGGATTACCCTTTAAACTAATGGAGAGCAAAAAATGGGTCGCAAGAGTATTCAGAGAACAGACAGCAGCTAAAATAGCCTGCCCTTCGGTGGATCCCCGCTCAGAACTCAAGCTGGTTTTAGCTCATCTTGTGCCATTACAGAGAGAACATATCTGAAGCATATCAGACTGGTCCCACCCATACGGGTAGTCCAGATCCGAAATGCCAGCAAGTTCTCTCTGCATGAGAGATACAGCAACCCCAGACGATCGTTTCAGCCTTGTTAGGCATTGTAAGTGAGGCATAGCTGATATCTCCCTAGGCACCGTGAGCAAGGGGTCCACGTCTGGATTACCCTTTAAACTAATGGAGAGCAAAAAATGGGTCGCAAGAGTATTCTGATAACAGACAGCAGCTAAAATAGCCTGCCCTTCGGTGGATCCCCGCTCAGAATTCAAGCTGGTTTTAGCTCATCTTGTGCCATTACAGAGAGAACATATCTGAAGCATTAGTAGTTTGATTTAATTCACTGCTAGTTCAAAATTCTTTTTTACTTGTTCAATAACAGAATTTAGATCCTTTATTCTTATTCTCTCTTTAAGAAAAATATAACCCTCTTTCCCCATATTACCTTCATCTTCATGTGGGGTATGTAAGGCTCTCATTGAAGTGCATCCCTCCGGTTCATCTCCCATATGAATCACAGGTATTATTCTACCTTCCTGTGGAATAACCACTTCTTCTCCTCCTTCTCCTTTCTCTGATATCTCACACTCCTCGTCGATCAAGTTACTTGCCGCTGTGCCGCCTTCTGCAAATAGACCTTTCCTCGGCGTTTTCATTGCGGGCGTTGGAGTCACGGGTAATGGAATGAGGAAGGGTCTAAGATTGTTTGTATTTTCCTTCATACTATTCTTTTTTTTGTAATTCTTTATTTTTGTTGTGCAAAGGATTTTTCAACAGGCCTGTAATGCCACGACAGCTAATACAGGCAATGAGAAGTACATAACGTAATGACATTGGGTAAACTGCACAATTTTTATAATAAATCATGGTCATATATAAAATGTCAGTAGGTATGGTAGTATGTTCATCAATGTAAGCAGGCTATGTAACTGACCTATTGTTAGGCTTAGTAGTACAGCATAAAATATCATGAGTACGAGTCAGAAAATAACATGTTGTTTTGCCACTGGTTAGAAACTTAAACTTAAACATATAAAAAACAGGAGAAACAAATACCACTGTGTTAGGCAATGAGTAGGAGAGTGGCATCAGCTTGTGTCACAGTTATCGCTAAATTGCGGTATTTGAGCTTCTGGTTCAGCCTATACCCGACAGATAATGTCCCATTTTCCATGCAGATTGTTCACGGATGGCCCACTTAATTTCTCTCCACCGACCCCACTATCTTGGCGAACTGCATACAGGACCAGAGTCCGGTATCTGCATCTAGGTGTGTTCTTGTCACAATTTGTGAGTGCCCCCAGCCGGTGTGAGCAAGTTGTGTGCGGACCTCTCTTGCCGATTTGCGGCCCATGCAGGTGGTATTTCACCTGGTGTCCAGATCTTCGGCGGCGATGCCCTTTACGAGGCACCCGTCTCCATGCTCTCCCTGCCGGCACCGAATAGAGGGACGTTCGCGGATTTCTACCGAAAGAGAAGGGAGGTAGGCGGCTTCAGTGGTGTTTGTGCCAAAAAGTGTCCATTTTGAGTTCCATTAGTTGGCTGACTAACACCGCTGAGCTTTCAGGGATTTCAAATGGCCGCGACCTCGTGTTTGGTATACGAATGGCGGCCACCCAGCTACAGTATCAATTAAGAGGTAAAACCAGAACAGTGAGTGATATTGGATATTGGCTCTTGTGTCTCAGCTGAGAACTGCTTTGCGGTGGGCAGGCTAGGTGTCCCATAGTAGATGAGGACAGGTGAGGGTATGGGAGCATGCGACTATCCGGGCCCAGAAGTCCCTGCACACCTTATCAAAGTTGGTCTCGAAGCGCTGCATCTCTTCCCGGCTCTCTGGGCTGGCTGTCTACTGTGAGGGCCTTGATGTGGCGGCCATCTTAAATCAGCCACTCAGTCTTTAGGAACTGCTGATTTCGGGCTTTTCGGATTAGTGTGTCCAGTGGGGACCGGAATAACCCACACCGGTCCAAAGGGGGAGTAATGGGGCTTCTGTGGCTGCACGTCGGGATGCTTGTTCCCAGGTGGGAGATCGCCTGCCTCTCCCAGCCATCGGGTCCGCAGTCTCGGTAGGCTGCAGGGCTAGAAAGCAGACTCACAGTGTCTAAATCACGGATTTTGGTAGACCTTGGTGTCCCCATTGGTAGTTGTGTCTGTTGTGCTAGTTTTGGGGTACTCTGCCACTATTTTTTTCGATACGGGTAAGATTAAGTGTTATGCTGGCAGGAGCTCCCTTGAAACACGTCTGGCCAACTTGCGAGTCAGGCCCCGCCCCCTTCCTTTCTAACCTTCTTTGGTGTATTAGGGTTAGAGGGTAACGCTGGTCCAATCCAATGTTCCTCGTACAGGAGCATTGGGGACCTGACGCACATGTGTTGCAAGCTCTATGCACGTCCAATGCTTCTCATAGTTAAACATGGCATTTCATTGGAGGGGCCTCTAGTGGCTGTGAGTGTGACAGCCAGTAGAGGCATTTTCAAGTCTTTAAGGTAAACAATGCAGTTTCTGAAAAATAGCAATGTTTTAGCTTGTGTGGTTAAACCTAAACTGGACTGGCTGACTCTAGTGGTCCTTTAAATTGTGGGAGAATATTATATATGTATATTAATATATGTGTATTATATTAATATTTACATGTACTGTGTACATATATATATATATATATATATATATATATACACATATATATAGAGAGAGTGGATAGTTAATACATTGCTAAACACAAATACACACACCAGTCAAGCCATAAGACTTGCTTTTCCCACAGAAATATCCCTTTAACAGCACTCTCACTATTGCAAGGGATTCTGGGTAGCCTACTTGATTGGTGTGTGTATTTGTGTACAGCAATGTATTAACTATATATATATATATAAAAGCAAAATAATATCACTACACAAAAATTGCTATAACACCCATGCATTAATATCCAAGGATAAAACAGACTTACTGTTTCTCTCAACTGGTGACCATGGATTGGCAAAAAGTGTCAGTTTATGCTCCCAGATTATCACTAACAGTCTAGCTAAACCATCATTATACTAGTGTTTTTATGGTGTTTGTTCCTATGATGAAACATACAATTTGAAATATGCTTTAACAGGGTTATTTACAAAAGTGAGAATTGCTGAGAATTCAAAATGGATTTTGAGTGAATTTCTAATTTAAGGCCAAAATAACCACACAAAAAAAAACGCCAAAACATCTCCAATTTAGCCATGTTTGCTGTTAAGCTTTTTTTTTTTTTTTTTTTACCTAAATACAGAATTCACTTTGAATTCCTGGCAATTCTTTGTGATGTCATGACACAGACATATCATATGGGTTGGGTATTGTGTTGTCACAGCATGGACGGAGCAAAGGGAACGGCAAAATCTTTTTTGCCTAGGGTCGCAAAAATCCTTGCACCGGCCCTGGGAACGTTCAGTGTCTCCATGCAGAGCATGGACATGCTGAACTGCTGTGGACTAGGAAGCATAACTAGTGGCCGCCTTAGTGACTGCCACTAGAGGTGCTCCTAGGCACCAAAGTAAACACTGCATTTTCTCTAAAAAAAAGTCCGCAGGGACAGGCTATAGACACTAGAACCACTACATTAAGCTGTAGTGGTTTTGGTGTCCCTAGATTCAGATATGAACACCCAATGTGCTATTTTTGAGTCTGGACACTTTGGTATCAGCGGAAAATATGCCACAAATCATGAAGAGAGTTGCAGGTTTACAATCACATAAGATCTATACTTGCTCAAATAGTCTGCAGGGTGAAGGAACCAAGCCATCTTTCCAAAAGTTAACTTAACCAAGTTTATTGTATGTCCTAACGTCTCTCAGTAACGTGTGTGCATGCAGAATAATTTCATTCAATGCCCTTGTTACATTTTGCTTCCTCCTCCGCCTGAAGCTATTGAAAGTAACAATTTATCCAGCTTTCCAATAATCAATAGCACATTTAACCAGTATGGATAGTTTAATAAGGTTTATTGATAATTCATTCTAGTGCTTGAGTGTGGGTGCCTTTCCGTGGTAAATGTGTTGATATAAACGTGTATACAGTAGAACATCAGTAGCACCTCACTTACAGGTCCTTACAGAAGAATTCACCGTCCTTGCATCTTTCAACATTTAGTAGTTTTACAAAATCAAATTAAAATTATTAATCAGATTTTTAAAATAGAAAAACTTTTGATATTATTCAAAATATTAGTTAAAAAAGCAACAATTAAAAATATTTTTCTCGAGCCAGCAATTTCTTTCCAAAATTGGCCACACTCTATGTGGTTGGATTATCCCATTGGTGAACAGTAAGTCCACAAATTCTCAATCAGATTTTCTCAGGGGAATGAGTGATGTTTGCATTAATCTTTATCCTAGCTGTATTTTAATACCAATTTAATTTAGCTCCAAGTTGTAACAGAATAAATACTTGTGTGAAGCACTGTAAAATATAGTGCAATACCTGATTGTTGATATGCACAATTAATTTCCAGTTTTGCACTCCGGAGTCAAACCTAGCCATTCACAGTTCACTTTAGAATTCAGCACATATACCCAAGGTCAGTTCATTTTCAAGGGAAACTGTCATGACTCACCTAGCACTCCGCTCCCCCGCCATAAAGAGGTTACACTTCAGAAACACCCATCCTCCAGTCCGCCTGCGCTCCTTTTGTTTGTGCTGATTTGCCCTGCTTGGGGACAGCATGCCGATGTCTTAAGGGAGTGACCTCAGTCCGTTCCTATATTCCCTAGCCACTACTAGCAGCATGTGCTGTGGTTGCTCTGGGTGGAGAGCAGACGGACCTTCAGTGGGAGCTCTCTTCAGCTCTCTGTATTTTTCAATGCCTCTGAATCGTGTGTCTGCGAGGAAATGAGAGAAAAAACTATTTGTTAAAAAGCTAGTACAATGTATAGATGGAATTTTACCCTCTTTTAAGAGTCAAATTTGTATATTTGATGACAGGTTCCCTTGAAGATCTGATGCATGTAACGTTCAGTTCCTGGTCTGATATAGTCCTCTTCAGGATCTGGTGTTCACTCCTGAATTTGGGTATATACAGCTCACTTTCCGACCTGTGATAAACACATTGCTGAATTCCCTTCCAGACGCAGTGCACTCCTGGTTCATTTTCCATTGCTTGCAAATACAATTCAACTACTATTCCTAAGAGATCTCATCCATCTTGCTGAGGAACATGTGACAACAGACGAACAACATTATCTCTATAATGTATACATAAAATGGGCTGTACATCCACCTCAGGGTAGACCTTTAATGGCATTCAATTAGATTCATGCAATGTCCACAAGGAGCAATGAACCGTAGATGTACAAACAAATTCACCTGCTGTGTCAGCTGTTAAACTATTGCTGTGGAACATCAGTTTCCTGTTGTGTATTTAAAGTCTTCCTGCATTTTTTTTTTACAATCATTATTAGACGTTTTAAACAAGAGAGTAAAAGACTCACTGAGTGCTACACTGACGGCTTCAATAACTCTGTCTTCAACTTCCTGCATCAGTCTTTCCATTCAGGTTGTGTTTAATGCATGGGTGTTTGTTCCTTTGTTATAAGTCTGCTCATCTATCACTAAAGAGACTAATGTGTTCAAAATGGCCAACAATGTCTTTATTAGTGAATGTTGCTGCCTGGCCTCTCTATTATTAGTATAAACTAAACAGGTTATTTCATTATATATCTATTTGTTCTGTAAAAGTGACAGAATGTGGGCCTCCCAGGTGTCCTTTGTCAAGATCCAAGAGGGAATATAAGGAATGTAATGTATCATCATGATTGTGTCAAACTGTTTGCTCTACTTCTGTTAGTGAGTAACCAGCTGTGTCTCTGCAGCAACAGTAGTAAGTGTATGAAATGCCCTGCATCATATAATTGGATGGGATATGGTACCAACCTTCTGAGTTTAACATATATACCAAGCATGTCAAACTTAAAGGCTAACACGGGCCAAATAAACAAGGGTTGAGTTTTTATGGGCTGCAAAAAAACCCAAAACTTCTGTTTTCATAGAAACATAGGTTTATTTAAAAAATGACTATAAAAAAAAAAAAGTCGCCTATCACTGGATGTCCTCACGCTCGTAGGGCTTCAAAGTAAGTAAAAGAGCGAATTTATTTTAAGGAGATGTGCATTTGCATATAACATGTTTCAGTCCTACTACCATGACAAATTAAGAAAAGTTTTGTAATGGGACTGAAAAGATGAATGTATGCTTTTGCACAGCTGTAAAAAACAAATGATGTACAGTGTCAAAAGCTCCGGTGCCCAACAGAGGAGCAGCGTATGTCAAAGTTCCCTGAAGAACGTGTAGAAGTTTCATCTCCCTTTACATACTATGGTATGGACTGTTTCGGTTCTTTTATCCCCAAGCAAAGTCATAAGGAGTACAAGAGGTATGGTCTCATCTTCACATGCTTCTCCTCACGTGCAGTCCACATTGAGATGCTTGAAGATTTATCTACAGACTCCTGCATCAATGCCTTAAGGTGTTTCATCAGTTTGAGAGGAGCCATTCGCCAACCTTACTGTGACCAAGGCACGAACTTCATAGGAGCAAAGAATGAATTAAAAGAAGCTCTGAAGCAATGTGACACCAAGACACTGGAAGCTTTCCTAGCTGACAAACAGTGTGAGTTTATCTTCAATGCCTCCTATGCAAGTCATGCAGGTGGAGTCTGGGAAAGCCAAATTAGGACCATTCGTAATTCGGAAGGAAGATGTATATGCAGCTAAAAAGATGGCATAGAGTAGAGTATTTAGCAGAACAGTTCTGGAGTCGGTGGAGCATTTCCACAATACAGAAATTAGCGTTTCCACAAGACGGAAAGGGCACACACCTCGAGCGTTTCCACAAGACAGAAATGGCACACACCTCGACGTAACCTGAAAGTAAACGACATAGTTATAATCAAAGAAGATATGCTTCCAAGATGCCAGTGGCAGCTGGGACGTGTGATCGAAATTAGAATAGAAAAGTATGGTCTAGTTCATCGAGTCCAAGTGTTAGTAGGTGACAGAAGGGCTACGCATCAAAACCTTCAATTATTGAACGTCCTATTCAAAAGTTAGTAGTTTTATCAAGTTTTAAGTAATGGTAATCTTCTAGAAAGAAAGTGTCAGGTTACTCAAATAAAGGGGGGAGAGGGGAGGTAACCCCCAGATAGAATTTGCTATGAAAAGGAAACACAAAAGTAAACAGTAGTAAAAGATAAACCCTTTTGTGCAAGGAGTAACCCAAATAAAATAAAACGTCACTTTTAATGTAATTATTTTAAATGTTTCATTTAAAGTACTTGATTGCAAATACAATTGATATCTATACTGTATAACGTTATACAGTATGGTGTTGGTCTAGGAGATATGGGACGACATGTACCAAGACCTATATGACATTACCACCCATACTTCCGTTATTTAATTTATTTTCTTATTTATTTATTTGATTCATTTTGGTTACTAACCATTACAGCGAATTAGCTCAGCAAGATATCCTCATTACCACTTCGCTCTACCTAAACTATTAGGCTGTATATCCAAGAGGAGGTGGAGGGATTAGCATTTTTTAAAGGGTGCCCTCGAAGGCACAATAGAGTAGGGAAGTTAGTATTCTATTTAGTTATACCTGCAGGACTTTCTCCCCGCTCTATTTACCTATTTGCTATATAGTTATCTCTCTTCCCTGCTGGCTAATTGAATATTCTACAAATGTAACTTTTTTCTTCTTTTTTGTTACTTTATCTTTAATTAACACATTTTTTTCACACATTGCAAAGCATTGTGTGATCACCAAGTAATTACCTATTTATTTATCAAGTTTTTTGTATAAATTATTTATATTTAGATCCCTCACTTGTTATTATTATTTTTCTTAAGATCGCCTTAAATATTTTTTTTCTATTATAACATGTTTTGTGATACAATATATTCTCTGTAGGATTTTTTCCTACTATAGATATCAATTGTATCTGCGATCAAGTATTTTAAGTGAAAGTATAAGCTGACTTTTTCAGCACATTTTGTATGCTGAAAAAGCCCCCCTCGGCTTATACTCGAGTGAGGGTCCCACTTACCTGTTCTCCGGTGCAGTGCGGGTGTTCTCCGGTCTCTCCCGCTCATCTGCGGGCGCCTGCAGCCTCTGTGGGTGGTCCGATGACCGCAAGCGGAGCAAGGTATGCTGTAAAGGTGCATGTTTATAAAAGTATATATGTTCTTGGACATTAATTGTGTCCATGTTGTTAGTTAAAAGATATGTTGTATAGAAGCCAACGTTTGTATAGAAGTACTATAGTCCAAATCTCTGTATATAGTTTGTATTCCTCAGATGTTTAATTTAATATCGATGTATGCAAATATCTGAACTTCACATTTGTAATCCTGTTTGTAATCTTATATGTAACCCTTTCGGTGGAATGCTGTAAACAAATGTATTTGTATGTCCTGTCAGGAACGCACCCTACTTCAAGAGTGTGTGTGAGGTAGTTGTGGTGGTGAAAGGTTCACTATTTGTCTGCACTAGACCGGAAATAATGATAAAATCCCCCTTAACACCAGCCACAATTAACAATAATAATATAAATATTACTATTTTAACGCTGCCACCACCAAGGCAATTTAGAAATGGGGTGCCTTGGTCCCCCAGGTAACGTAATAATAAAAACCCATCAAATACAACTTAGCTCAATACCTATGCAATTGCAAAACACTAATTAATTAGTTTCTCCGGGTAACATGATTCTTTACCAGACAAAGGCAGAACTTGATAAAGGAATATTTATTATGAGCAAAAAATAGTCACAGTGCATACAAAAATATAGATGACAATCAAATTAGTTACACCAACAACAGATAAAAATAAAATAACAGAAGTCCTAATAACTTACTCAGGTTTTCAAAGTAAAACTTCTACCCAGGGGGTCTCTGGTAAGGGAGATGGTGATTTACTCAGAATTAGATTCTGGCCTCTCAGGCAAGTCTAATACACACTTCATTATCATTAGATATATACCCTGTGAATTACCAAGCCTCGTCCAGAGGTGGAGATGAGGCATACCTATAGTAACTATAAGTGATCACCCCCTTGTGTTCCAGACCAACATCAATCCAAATAGAAAAATTTGGTTCTATCTCCTCTTATGTACTTGCCACAAAAATAATAATTGCATCTATGACTTTGCTACAATTTTTTCATTCCATAGATATGTCACACTCCTTACTTGTGACCCAATATAGCGGACATCCCCTATGGTTATGGTTATTCCTCCCCTATGGTTAAGTTACACAAATCATGTTTGGGTTTGATTAGAAGATTGTGCTTGTCCCATTCTAAATATAATAACAATGAGGCTTAATTATTAATCTGTGGGTAAGTATTAATGTGTCTTTTGGATATGATACTGGAACACAAGGCTAATGGTCATTAACATATCAAAGGACCCCCTATCTAAGAGGGCCACTTATGTGTGAATTCTCACAGATTGCAGAGCCTTTGATTAATTAAATGATCAATCCATATGGTAAACCATTTGACCCCTTTCACATTCCTATGCAATTTACATTATCCCTTCTTCTGGCCAATTCATATATGCACTACACAAATTACATTTAATGGCAATATTCTATTGTGCAACAATGAATTATGCACCCTTGGCATGACATGTCCTATTACAGTTATCACGGTGCTTATGGTGCTTATGGTTTCATGGTGCTCAAGGTGTTTAAAGATATTGACGTTGGTGGTGTTCAGAGCACCCCTACACATTTCTGATGTAAAGAATAAATTACTGGACTCATCAGAAGCTCTCCTCTCCTTTCTTTACTCGATGCCAAAGGGGCCGCAACATAGTGTAAAACTTTAAAGCGGCACTGTCATGCCGAACTTTCTTTAATGGATTCCTCTTCTCTCCCTCTGTCAGGGTCTGTTCTTCATTTATTCTTGTCTGCTCTAGTTTTCTTTAAAACATAAGACAAAGTAGGAACTATTTGTCTTATGGAGGTTTCCTACGCCTGACCATCTCTGACCAGCGGAGGATCAAAGTGTGCTTCATTTCCGGTGGTCTGGGCAATTTTCCCACAATTCTCACCTTTCCTCAGTATTCCCGCGAAGTCTCCTTTCACTTTTCCCGAATGTCCTGTCATTTAGACAGAACGCCGACAAAACTACCGAATTGCATCCTAACAAAATGAGAACAGTTTCACCATTCGTGTTAGGATGCAATTAAGGACTTTGTTCGGATTGGAATTACATTCATATCAATGAAACTCCGATCCTATTCGTGCCGCGGCTGCCCCTGAGCGGTGGGGGCCATAAATCACAATGTGGGGTGGACCTATTGTCCTCTCCTGTGGCTCCTACCCCTGAGCACAGGGTGGGGGCCCTAAATGAGAATGAGGGGGGGAACACCTATTGTCCTCCCCCCCGGCCCCCACCCCTGAGCGGCAGGTGGGGCCCTAAATCACAATGTGGGGGGGACCTATTGTCCTCCCCCTCGGCCCCCACCCCTGAGCGGCGGGTGTGGTCCTAAATAACAATGGGGGGACCTATTGTCCTCCCCCCCAGCACCCACTCCTAAGAGGTGGGTGGGGGCCCTAAATGAAAATGTCCCCAAGCCCCTAGTCACCCCCCCACCCAAAACAAAAATGTATAAACCCCTACCTACCCCCCGTTGCCGAAATCCCCATAGGAAAGCATCCATCTTCACCCTCCATGGGTGAAGATGGATTATGTTTTTTAGTGTCAGGTTTTTTCTTTTTTGTCATATTTTTTTGGGCGCTTGGGTTTTTTATTCTATTTTTTTACAAGTTCGATGGGTATTTTTATTTGGCTTTTTTGTGGCTAAAAAATTAAGATTTTAGAAAAAAGAAGACATCAAATGGTAAGTTTATTTATTTTTTACAAGTACTTAGTTCTTTTATTCCCCCTCACTATTTTTAGGGTGAGGGGGGTAGGTAGGGGTTTATACATTTTTGTTTTGGGTGGGGGGGTGACTAGGGGCTTGGGGACATTTTCATTTAGGGCATTGAATAATGCTTTCCTATGGGGGTAACAGAAAAACAGAAAATAGAGATAACAGAAAAATAGAAAATATAACAACTATACAATTGACATTAACAGTGCATTTAATACAGATACCAACAGCCCTGTATTCTTAAGACAAACCAGTTTTAGCCAACAAGAATTATTACAAAACTGAAAAAATCCTCAGCACAGAAATTAAATTAAAGTGGGGAATTGCCACCCTAAAGAAATATATTGACGAATGTATCACACCTAGAGGTCTGAGACTATTCAAATCTCCAACCTCAGACCAGGACGATATTGAGTTCATGGAGAAATGGAACAATAAGCTTGAAATATGTACTTTTGGTTTAATGGAAACACCTATAATGAAAAAAAGTCACTATCACTGTTAGATTCATAAATTAATGACCTTAAAGAAAACCTGTTACCATTCCTTGAAACAAAAGTATATAAACAACACTCTATACTAATCCAAAGTAAAATTGAAAAAATTGAAACTGACACCAAACATATAAAAGTAAAAAAATATATCAGAGATAAGTCAGACTATGCTAACAATCAAGTACAAAATAGCTTCCACCAAATCACCCGTGGAATAAAAAAATAAACGTAACTTTGGATACTCGCTTCCCTTCAGTTACCTCCCAAATTGATAACTATATATAGAATATTATATAGTGCATATAGAATAGGGATCCAGCTTGTATCACTAAAA